TGGGCTCCAAGCTGGCTCTGAGCCTGCCTGAGTGGCATGGGCCATAGCGAGCTGCCGTACCAGCACCCTCCCTCTGTCCCCCGTCAGGTTGAGGCCATCTCCGACTCGGATACAGAGAGCCGGAGCCAGAGGGAATTCCACTCCATTGGGGTGCAGGTGGAGGAGGACAAAAGGTACCGCGCGACAAGGCTGGGCTGAGACCTGCCACACTCACTGCACTGTGGGTCCCTAAGCAGCACACTCCATCACTGCCCCACAGCAGCTGTACATTCTCTCCTCTGGCTAAGACCCTCAGAGCTCATCAGTGTCCCCATCTTGGGCAGGATCTGTCCTCCCTTTGCCCTTGTACCTCACTGCCTGCTCCCCTCCCCGTGCTCGGGTCCCTTTTGCTGGGGCTCAGCCTTGAGATTTGCACACATGACAGCTTTGGGCTTTCCTGCAGCTAAACATGACATTTTGGCTGGGTTGGGAATGCCGAGTGGCAGGACCTGCTCGGCCTGCGGGAAGGGAGCTCCTGCAATGTGCCCACGCAGCCTGGTGCATGCTCCTCCATCGTTGGTCCAGCGCTGGTAGCCATGGAAACGGGCTAAGAGCAGAAGAGATAAGGGACCAGCAGGTTGTGGCTGCTCAGAGCTGTTCCTATGGCCCCAAATACTCCAGGATTCACACTGATACTGGAATCCCCAGCCCCACTGTGGCTGTGGGCATCCCTCACTCTACCCCTGCACATCACGGTAACCAGAGAGGGAACGGAGCAGTGGCGCTGCCCTTGTTGGCTGCGGCTGCTGAGAGCCATTCCCATGGCCCCAGATGCTCCAGGATCCAGACTGATCCCAGCATCCCCATCCCCATCATGCCTGTGGGAATCCCTGCCCAGCAGCGTGACGGGGAACCGGGGCTGTCCCTCTTGGCTGCGGGGTCCCCATGCGCTCCTGCTCTCCGCAGGCGAGCGCGCTTCAAGCGCTCCAACAGCGTGACGGCGGGCGTGCAGGCGGACCTGGAGCTCGAGGGCTTCACCGGCCTGGCCGTGGCCACCGAGGACAAAGCGCTGCAGTTCGGGCGCCCCTTCCAGCGGCATTCCTCGGAGCCCGAGACCGGCCGGCAGTACGCGGTGTACAAGACGGTGCACACGCAGGGGCAGTGGGCGTACCGGGAGGACTATCAGCTGCAGTACGACACGGTGGAGGTGCCCCGGCGGGATGCCTGGATGGAAAGGGGCTCCCGCAGCCTTCCCGACTCCGGACGTGCCTCCCCCTGCCACCGCGATGGGGAATGGTTCATCAAGCTGCTGCAGGCGGAGGTGGAGAAGATGGAGGGCTGGTGCCAGCAGATGGAGAGGGAGGCTGAGGACTATGACCTGCCGGAGGAGAGTGAGTCTGAGGGGGTTGCGGGGTCAGGAGACACTGGGACCACCTTGGGACCACTTTAGCCTTGGCAGGGGAGATGCTCCAAAGAGGTTGAGTGGGGACGAGAAACACCAGGAAACCCTTTGGGATTAGTGGGGTCTGGAGGAGGGAAGAGATGCCCAATGGGTTAGCGAGGTGCAAGGGGGTGCAGGTCCCCCCCATAAGGGGACAGGCTCTGTGCCCCATCGGAGTGATGACTGTCTGCTCTCCCCCCTGCCAGTCCTGGAGAAGATCCGGAGCGCCGTGGGCAGCGCCCAGCTCCTCATGTCCCAGAAGGTGCAGCAGTTTTACCGCCTCTGCCAGCAGAACATGGTGAGTGCCAGGCAGTGGTGCCATGGGGTCAGCCATGGCCAGTGGGAAAGGGACTTGGTAATGCCATGGGGACAGAGATCCCCCAGCAGCGAGGCGGTGGGACGATGTCCCACAGGGTGGTGCGGATGACACTCTGTCCCCACAGGATCCCAACGCATTCCCTGTGCCCACCTTCCAAGACCTGGCCGGCTTCTGGGACCTCCTGCAGCTCCCTATTGAGGACGTCAGCATGAAGTTCGCAGAGCTCCTGCAGCTCAAGGCCAACGGCTGGAAGATTGTGGAGCCCAAGGTAAGGGCAGGGCTCTGCTGCGGGTACTCATCCCCCGTCACCTCTCCCTACCTCCTCCTCCTCCTCAAGCATATCTGCACCCAAAACACCACTGCTTTCCTGGGCTGCTGCAGGGGACTGCTCTTAGCAAACACTTGGAAAACAGAGCTGGAAAACACGAGGATAAAGAAGGGGCAGTTTCCCTGCCATGGGCTCGCTGGGTGTTTCTGGGCAGCGCTGCCCGCGTAGGGACAGGCAGGGTCTTGGCACGGGCAGGAACCTCCACACCAGTGCAGGCAGATGAAAGGACGTGCACCTTGGTGTGCAGGGGGGTTTGTGGGGCCGTCTCACCATGGCTTTGGCACCCACCATGCACGGGGGCGTCTCAGACGCCTGCTGCCTGTGCCGAGCTCACCGGGGTGCCCGTTCCCGGAGATCCCATCCTGAAGCCGCTGTTGTCTGTGCAGGAGGAGAAGAAGGTGCCTCCCCCGATACCAAAGAAGCCGCCGCGCTCCAGGGTGCACCCGGTGAAGGAGCGCTCCCTGGACTCGGTGGACCGGCAGCGGCAGGAGGCCCGCAAGCGCCTCCTGGCAGCCAAGCGCGCTGCCTCCTTCCGCCAGAGCTCGGCCACCGAGAGCGCGGACAGCATCGAGATCTACATCCCCGAGGCGCAGACCCGGCTCTGACCGCAGCCTCCGCTTTTCTACCCGGACTGGACGGCGCGGCCGTAGCTCACTGTGACGGGGGCCGCGGGGACACCCTGGGGCAGCTCTTGGCCCCGCTCACAGCTTCTCTCTTTTCTATCTTAGACCTTTCGTGGATCCGACGGCGGGGGAACACAAGCCCGGTTCTGCCCCGTCCCATTGCCCCCCCTGCCCGCATGCCCCTGCCAGCCTCTCCCGGGGTCCGGGGCTCTCCCTCCCTCTGCCCTCCCTGGGGCCATGTCCCAGCTCTCTGTCCCCTTCCCACCCTTCCTGCACCCCCCTCCCCAGCCTGTGCCCCCACTGAAAGAGAGGTGACCCCCAGCCTCCGGCCTCCCGGGCTGGAGGGGAGGGGGCTGCAGGCAGGCCCCCCCAGCCTCTCTGTATTCAGTGCAATCCCCCCAAACCCAGTGGGGACGGGACCCCCAGCCCCACCAGCACCAGGCTTTGGGATGTGGCAGGGACACAGGGATCCTTTGCGCTGCCCCTGCCTGCCTCCAGCTCAGGTGCCACGGGGGACCCAGGGTTCCTTCCCTATATACATCTATAACTATAACCTGAGGAATAAAACAGAAACTCCCCATGCCCAGCGCTGTGTTCTGCCTGGCGGGATGGACCAGAGCAGCAGGAGCCCCCGGACACTGCCCCGCTTCCCTCGCACGGAGCATCGCGATGCGCTTCTCCCGTTCCTGCTCAGCCCTCCTTCCCCATCCGTCTGTCCCTCCATCCGTCCGTCCTTCCCTCCTGCCAGCCTGGAGTCTGGGAGCACCTCTGCAGCGCGGCAATAGCCAGGGATGGGGGATACGGTCCCCCTGTGCCTTGCCACCAATGGGAGCCACTTGCCAGCGTGTGAGTGAGGTGGTGGTGATGGGGAGACCCGCTTGTGGTGCCAGGGACTGCCGTGGCTCTGCCGGTGGGTTGGATGGGAGCATGGACATGACCAGCAGCTGCCGCTTGAGCGTGGGGCTGATGGAGATCTCCCTGATGGGTCACCCCTTCTCCCACGGGATGGGACACTCCAAGACGCGGCTGCCATGTGCTTGGTGCCCCCTGGTCCCTCTCTAAGCATCCTGTCCCCCCCCAGTGTCCCTTTTGGTGGCAGAAGAGGGGAGGACCCCATCCCAGTCCCTCACCCTGCCACACAGCATCACCAGCCACTCCCAGGCAGGGCCGGCAGGTGCCGGGAGCTCCTGAAATCCATGGCCAAACGTCTCCCAGGGCCCTGGGGCAGGGCAGCAGGATCGGAGGCAGCTGGGGGGGGTTGTGCATCTTGTGCCCCCCATATACCAGGAGGGGGCCAGGGCCAAGCACGGGGGTCCCTTGCTCCAGGGGCTTCTGCCGGTGTTGAGCACCTCTGGGACGGCAGCGCCCACTCAGCCACCCAAAGCCCTTTCCCTCCCTGCGCCCTCCCGCACCCTGGATTTAGGGATGAGCCCGGGAAGGGCTCGCTCGCCCCGGCCAGCGCCGTGCAGTGACCGTGACACGTGGCTCCCTTTTTACTGTACCGAACCGAACCGAACCGCCGCAGTTAATAAAGATGACTTTGGTTACTCCGGGCCAGCGGCCGCCTCCCCGCGGGGACACGGCCGGCACCGGGCTCGCCTTTCCCCCGTCTACTGCCCCTTCGTGTCGGGGGGGTGGGAGCTGATCTCGCCGTGGGGCAGCTGGGGGGTGCCTGCAGGGCATCCCATGGGGCTCTCCCTGCGGGTACTTGCATGGATCTCCCCATGGGTTTCTCCCTGTGGCTCTCTCCCCCTGTGAGTTTATCCCCATGGGTGTCTCCCCATGATCCTCCCTGGGGGTCTTTCCCCATAGATCACCTCTTGGGGTCTCCCAGTGTCTTTCTCCACTGTGTGTCTCTCCCCGTGTGTCTCTCCCCGTGGGTCTCTCCATGTGGGTCTCCCTGTGGCTCTCCCACGGGTCTTTTGCTGTGTGTCTCGCCCATGGTTCCCTCCCGTGGATCTCCCCATGGATCTCCCTATGGATTTCCCCATGGATCTCCCCGGTTCTCCCCCTCGCTCCTCTCTCGGGGCGGCCTCAGCCGGGGCCGTTCCTCCAGCACCGCGCTGTCCGCCAGGGGGCAGCACCGCCCCGCAGGGGGGCCCAGCCGGGCCCTTGTTGTCTCTGACCGGAAGAGGCGGGCGGCGGCGGCGGCCGGGCCGAGGTGAGCGGGGCCTCCCGGGGCTGGCTCCGGCTCCGGCTCCGGCTCCGGCAGTCCCCGGGGTCCCGGCGCGGTCCGGGCGGGCCCGAGCCCCTGCGGGTCAGTGCGGAGGTACCGGTGCGGCCTTGTCCCGCCGGCGCCTCGCAGCCGCGGGAGGGCCCGGTCCCGGTCCCGGTCCGTGACCGCCGCGTTCCGCCCCCGAGGCGGGCGCAGCCCCCGCGCCATGTGGGCCGTGCTGTGGGCGGCCGTGCGCTCCAAGGCGCCGTACGTCACCTTCCCGGTGGCCTTCGTGGTGGGGCTGGTGGGCTACCACCTGGAGCGGGCCCTCCGCGGGGACCCGGCGCCCGCGGCCGAGGACGAGAAGAGCATCTCGGAGCAGCGGGAGGAGCGCGCGCTGCGGGAGATCGCGGGCAAGGACCTGACCAAGGTGGTGAGCCTGAAGGACAAGCTGGAGTTCGCCCCCCGCGCCGTGCTCAACAGGAACCGCCCCGAAAAGAGCTGATGCGGGCGAACGGGAGCCCGGCAGTGACTGCCCCGGGGCTGCGGCCCACAGCGCCGGGCTGGGGACTCCCCGGCACCGTCCACACCCCCTGGCCTGCACCGTGCCTGGGCAGCGCGCTGTGCCCATCGCTGCGGTAACACCACCCCCTCCCCGCAACCCTCCAGAGGGTCGGGGGTTGCCTCCAGACACAGCACCCAGACCTCCTGTGGGGCAGGGTGGGCGGGGAGCCGTGCTCTGGAGGTGGAACCTGGCTGCAGCTCTCAGCCTGTCCCAGCCCCCGAAGCACAAAACCCGCTGGGCCTGGTTTCACCCACGTCTCTTTAGGTTTGGTTTCTTCCGTGGTGTGAGGATAGAAGAAGCAAGGCCCTGAGTGACACGGGGCTGGGGTCAGGCTTCAGGAGGACCTGCTGCCCTGCTTACAGCTCTGCCATGGCTCTTTGCAACCCCAACCACAGCACCATGCTACCGCATCACACCCACAGGAGCCTGAGCAGCAGTGGACATCTCCAGGGAACCCCTCTCTGCGTCATTCCCGGGCTTCAAAGTGAGGGACGGGGAGGTGGAAGTCCTGGCCCTGCTTCTGTGGTGGAGCCCTCACTGTGGCGGTGGCTTTGGGCTGTGCTGTAGAGAACAGGGACATCTCTGCCCTGTATGGAAACAGCCAGAATAAACTTCTGTCTGTCCTTGGGCCTCTGTGTGTTCTGCACCAGCCCCTGACCCCAGCCCTGGCTCACGGTGTGCTTCTGCTCCCTGTGTTTTCAACCCCTTCTACCCTGGCAGAAATGCCATCATTGTCCCTAATGGGCACTGACCTCAGAGCCTGGCAGTGGGGTGGCAGGCAGGAAGGAGGGGAAGGCACCGAGATCCCAGCTCCCCAGCCACATCGTCTGCTTCCCCTCAGCTCCTTATCTAGACAAGAAGGGCTGTGGCAGGGCTCGGTGAGGCCCCAGGAGCTGGGGTGGGGGGGGTGTCCCATTGGGCTGGGCTGTGTGGTGGTTATCCTGGGCTGTGTGGTGGTTATCCTGGGCTCTCTGGTGGTTATCCTGGGCTCTGTGGTGGTTATCCTGGGCTCTGTGTGGTGGTTATCCTGGGCTCTGTGGTGGTTATCCTGGGCTCTGTGGTGGTTATCCTGGGCTCTCTGGTGGTTATCCTGGGCTCTGTGGTGGTTATCCTGGGCTCTGTGGTGGTTATCCTGGGCTCTGTGTGGTTATCCTGGGCTGTGTGGTGGTTATCCTGGGCTCTGTGGTGGTTATCCTGGGCTCTGTGTGGTGGTTATCCTGGGCTCTGTGGTGGTTATCCTGGGCTCTGTGGTGGTTATCCTGGGCTCTCTGGTGGTTATCCTGGGCTGTGTGGTGGTTATCCTGGGCTCTCTGGTGGTTATCCTGGGCTCTCTGGTGGTTATCCTGGGCTCTGTGGTGGTTATCCTGGGCTCTGTGGTGGTTATCCTGGGCTCTGTGGTGGTTATCCTGGGCTGTGTGGTGGTTATCCTGGGCTCTGTGTGGTGGTTATCCTGGGCTCTCTGGTGGTTATCCTGGGCTGTGTGGTGGTTATCCTGGGCTCTGTGGTGGTTATCCTGGGCTCTGTGGTGGTTATCCTGGGCTCTCTGGTGGTTATCCTGGGCTCTGTGGTGGTTATCCTGGGCTCTGTGGTGGTTATCCTGGGCTCTCTGGTGGTTATCCTGGGCTCTCTGGTGGTTATCCTGGGCTCTCTGGTGGTTATCCTGGGCTCTGTGGTGGTTATCCTGGGCTCTCTGGTGGTTATCCTGGGCTCTGTGGTGGTTATCCTGGGCTGTGTGGTGGTTATCCTGGGCTCTGTGTGGTGGTTATCCTGGGCTCTGTGGTGGTTATCCTGGGCTCTGTGGTGGTTATCCTGGGCTCTGTGGTGGTTATCCTGGGCTCTGTGGTGGTTATCCTGGGCTCTGTGGTGGTTATCCTGGGCTCTGTGTGGTGGTTATCCTGGGCTCTGTGGTGGTTATCCTGGGCTCTGTGGTGGTTATCCTGGGCTCTGTGGTGGTTATCCTGGGCTCTGTGGTGGTTATCCTGGGCTCTGTGGTGGTTATCCTGGGCTCTGTGTGGTGGTTATCCTGGGCTCTGTGGTGGTTATCCTGGGCTCTGTGGTGGTTATCCTGGGCTCTGTGGTGGTTATCCTGGGCTGTGTGGTGGTTATCCTGGGCTCTGTGGTGGTTATCCTGGGCTCTGTGTGGTGGTTATCCTGGGCTCTGCGTGGTTATTGCTGCCTCCCAGCTTGTTTTTAACCCTGGTGCCCGAGCGAGGCCCCGCTCTGCCCCGGCCCTGCCTTCCCCCCGCAGGGACGATAAATCTGCCGTGTCTGGTGCGAAGCCCGGAGGTCAGCAGCCTCTTTGGTGTTTCCCACCACTCGGCCCCGCTTCCTCAAGGCCCTGCTGACAGCTTCATGCCCGGCCACGTTTACCTCCCGACCTGCTCTCCTCAGCTGGATCGCTGCCCTCCAGCTGGGCCCAGAGCCCGGCACCACCGGGAAGCCGCAGGCCTCTGCTGTCACGGCACGTGGGGCTGGGCTGGAAGGTGCAGGGGGACACCAAGGCTGTCCCAGCTCTGCCCCACTGCTGCCTCCTGCACTAGGGCTCACTGCACCTCTTGTGCCACCACCACGGTCCCCTTGGCACAGCCCTGAGGTAGCCCCTGCCCTTGGCCTTGTGCTTCCCCAGCCTGGTTGAGGGTTCCCTATTGTGCTCTGGGGTGGGAATGGTCCTGTCCCTTCCCCCAAGCTGGGACCAGCTGGACCCAGCTCGGAAATGCCTTTGTTCCCCGCGCCGGAGCGGCTCCCTCGGCTGTTTATAGCCCATTGATCTGCCTGTTCCCAGGCCCGGCCGGGCACAATCGGGCTTTGTCGGGGCCTCGCTGCCCCATTTCCTCCCCTGGGCCCACGCGGTGTCGGTCGGGGGGGGCTGCTCGGCTGCAGTGCCCTTGGGAAGGGCTGAGTCCCGACGTGGCTGCACGGGCACAGGCGGCATCTCACTGGAGAGCCTCTGCCCTGCTCCCCGCACCGCTGCCTTGCTGGTCCTGCTGCCTTTCCCGCTGGTTTCCATGCGTCTCCCGTCCATCCCTGCGGCAGACGCTGGCTGTGGAGTCCCCGCAGGCCGGGGTGAAGCTGCTTCCCAGTCGCCTTTCTCCTAAGGCCTTGGTGCCGTAAACCCACCCTTCCTCCCATTGAATCCCAACAATGTGCTGCCTGGGAAGCGCCGGCTGGACAAGAATAGGAGCCGGCGGGCGCTCGGGGCTGGGGTGAGCAGCACAGCGGATCATGAAGAGTGAGGAAGCTTTGTTGAATAAGCCATTATGGCAAGAAACTGCGCACAGCCCCTCAAGTGCAAGTCCTTGGCATTTGTAATCCAGCTGTTCCCAGCATGGCACAGCCGGTGCTGCAGTGGGACTGCAGTGTCCCCAGGCCTGTGTTTTGTGGGAGAGCATCCTCCCAGGGCTGGTCCAGGTTCTGGGGCCGGCTGCATTGTGCCATAGAGCAGGGGTGGAATCTGGCAGCTGCAGAAGTGTTGCCTGTCCCTGCCCAGCCCATGGTGGCCGTGCCCCAGGCTCAGGAGCAGCAAGCTGGCTCTTTAACTCTTGTCATGGCGCTGCTGCCTTGCTGCAGCATCCAGGCTGAGCCTCTGCCCTTCCTGGTGCTGGGTTTGCTCCTGGTCCATCACAAACAGCTTGGGAGAGGTGGCAGTTTCCAAGGCAGGATGGGGCAAACTGGGGCTGTGCAGGGCTGAGCTGTGCCCCAGCTCGTTGGGGTCAGCCTAGAGGCCTGGGAGGGCTGCTGTGCAGGCAGGAGCAGTGGGAGCTGCTTGGCACGGCTCGGTGATGTCTGGTCAGGTCAGAGCAGGGATGCACCAGCTGCATGGGCACGGACACAGTGACCCTGCGCTGGCACAAGGGCTGCTCAGAGCCAGCAAGGCCTGGAGTGATGTTGCTCTGGGAGGACTCTGGGGCCTGAGGGCCTCACGCTCCCATGTCCCATCCTGGAGCAGCGCAGTCACCCTGGAGCACCCAGGACATGCAGGCAGCCGGTGTCCCTGCAGCCCCGGGACATGGAGGCTGCTCACCCCAGCTCCACTGGAGAGCAAGCGGTGCATCCCCCGCAGTCCCCGGGGACATCTGCTCCCTCCCGTCCCAAAGCCCAGGCTGTTTTCCCAGGCTCCAGTTCTGCCCTTTCCGTGGAGGCAGCTGAGTCCTTTCCCAGCCTCCCCGTCTCGCTCATCCCTCCCTGCGCATGTGCTCCGTGCCCTGCCGGATGGCTCCCTTCTGCAGCCAGCAAAGCCCTGAAGTGCTGTGGGAGAGGAGCGGCTTTGCTCTGCACTGGGACACATCCCTGGGTCCTGGCTGGGGATAGCTACAGTGGGACATGGCCCCTTCCCACTTGGCATTGCCTCTCGCAGCCACAGCTCAGGGCTGGCTCCCCATCCCCATCGTGTCTCATTGCTTTCAGGCCACATCATCCTGCAATGCCGGCAAAAGCCGCTGCAGCAGCTCCTGCTCTCGCAGTGCTGCAGTGGGACGATGCCGCTGGCAGGGGCCGTTCCCAGCCCGGGGCGGGCAGGGGGTGCCAGGCACCGCGGTCCCGTTGCTTCGGCACAAGGAAGCGGCTGGAGGGGAGCGACAATGTCAGGATGCGGGAAGTCATCGGGGCTATTGAGCGCGTTTCCTCCCGCCCGCGGTTCTCACACGGGGCCACATTCATTGTCTGCCGTGCCCGCGCGTGGAGGGCTAAATATAACCCCGGGCCCAGGGAGGAAGGGAGCTCTTGGGGGTTTGCTTTTCCCTCGCTCTGCGCTGCTGGCAGCAGCGCTGATAGGGGCAGGGTTGTACCCGGTTTGGTGTCACCTCGATGGTGGGTGCTGCCGGCATGGGTGCTGCCGGCACGGGGTCTGTGCCCGGCTCAGGAGGATGCTCCTGCCCACCCACCCTGAGGGGCTGCAGGAAATGGGGTGCTGGGAAGCTGTGGCAGAGCCTTGGGCATGTATGGGGGGGGTCCAGCATTATGTGTGTGTGGGGGACACATGCTGTGGCCCTGGCTGGCATCCCCCTGCCCAGCCCTGTGCCCTTTCTCCCTCTCAGGCTCAGCTTCGCTCCCGCCGTGGCTCCTCCTGTGGCACTTGGATTTAGGCACTTGTTGCTTTGTGTATGCTGGGAAAGCTCAAAAATAAACTCCTGGTGCTCGGGCAGAGCCTTGCTGCGGCTTCTGTCCCCCAGACCACATCAGGGCTAAGGGCAGGGGGTGCCCAGCATCGACTGGGTCTCTGGGTCCAGAGCTGGGTCTTGGGGTGCCCACGGGGAGCCCCTCACCACAGTGCCCCGGCTGCCCGTGCTGTCACAGGGCATCACAGTTCACGGCCCAGCACTGGGATGGGGAGCATCATTCCCAGGAAGGACCGGAGGAGCCTGGAGCATCATTCCCAGGGAAGGACCGGAGGAGCCTGGAGCATCATTCCCAGGGAAGGACCGGAGGAGCCTGGAGCATCACTCCCAGGGAAGGACCGGAGGAGCCTGGAGCATCACTCCCAGGGAAGGACCGGAGGAGCCTGGAGCATCACTCCCAGGGAAGGACCGGAGGAGCCTGGAGCATTATTCCCAGGGAAGGACCGGAGGAGCCTGGAGCATTATTCCCAGGGAAGGACCGGAGGAGCCTGGAGCATCATTCCCAGGGAAGGACCGGAGGAGCCTGGAGCATCACTCCCAGGGAAGGACCGGAGGAGCCTGGAGCATCACTCCCAGGGAAGGACCGGAGGAGCCTGGAGCATCACTCCCAGGGAAGGACCGGAGGAGCCTGGAGCATCATTCCCAGGGAAGGACCGGAGGAGCCTGGAGCATCACTCCCAGGGAAGGACCGGAGGAGCCTGGAGCATCACTCCCAGGGAAGGACCGGAGGAGCCTGGAGCATCACTCCCAGGGAAGGACCGGAGGAGCCTGTTTACTCAGGACGGAGCCCGGAGGTGTGAGAAAGGCCGAGCCCGTCCGGCCGGGCCGCCGCTATCTGTCCCCGGGCTGTGCCAAAGGCCCTGCCCGCGCCCTTATCAGCAGCAAACTTCTATTTGCCTAAGGGCCGCCTGCCTTTGGGGGGACTGCTGCCAGCACCAGCCCCGCTGCAGCCCCCTCCCCGGCCCCCCCCGCAGGTGAGACCCTCGCTGTTGTTGTTGGCCTGTGCCACGGGCACCGGGTCGGCGCAGCCACCCCGAGCCGCCTTGTCACAACACGGGAACAATAGCGGGACGCGGAGCCGTGTTTGCGCAGCGCCGGCGGCCGGGCACCGCGGCCAAGCAGAGGAGCTCTCGTCCCTCTTTGTTTTCCAGCTTTCCAAGCGTGATGCTCCGCTGGTGCCAACACAAATATCAGCGCAGGAGAGGGGTGAGCACACGGCCCGGCTGCGCCGTTACCTTTCACACGGGCATTTCCTCCTGGCTGAGGACGCGGGGCTGCTCCCCGAGAGCTGCAGCTCTGCTGGTGCCTGGGGGCTGCGGCCCCCTCTTGCTTTGGGGTGCCCCAGGGCAGGGTCCCTGCAGAGGGGATCTGCCCCAGCATCCTCACGCAGGGCACAGAGGAGGGTGAGGGCTGTGCATGCACCCCAGACCCCCCCCACCCATGGGATGTCACCCCCCTCATCCCCAGCAGAGAGAGGAGCCAAGGGCAGGCTCGGCTGCCAGCCCAGGCTCTGCACCAAGGGTGCCTCCCTCGGCACTTCCTTCAGCAGCTGATGGCAGCGATATTACCCCTATCATCACCCATATTTCATTCTCTCCAGGGTATTTTTAGGCCGTCCCACCCTTGCTGAAGGGGCCCTCGGCAGAAAGCAAGCTCTGCCCTGGGCTGGCTTGGCCAGAGAACCTAAACAACAGCCCCAGCCGCATTGTGTGCCTTTATCTGTGGCTCATTTCCACCTATTATGCAGCCACGAGCGGCTCCACGGCCTCCACTGGGTTTATCTGCAGCAGAGCTGGGGCAGGGCGAGAGGGGCTGAGCTGTGCTTTGGGTCACCAGGAGCCAAATGGCCCCAGACAGACCCTGGGGCTCGAGGGGTCAGGGTGCTATAGCAGTGAGGGTTGTGCTTCCAGTGAGTGCCTGTCCTCGGCAGCACAACTCCCCTTCACCCATCCCAATCCCTCATTCACTTACCCCCCCATCCCAGAGGCAGCTGCAGGAAGCAGTCACATCACACATCACTTCTGTTCATTCATCCAACTTTATTCAACAAGGTACAACACAGAGTCCTCCAGGGGGAAAGGAACAGCACAGAGGGCAGTGCCCGCATCCCACCCTCATGCCTGGGTCACGCAGGACCTTCCCCTTTCACAGAGTTGGTGGGATGCCGAGTCAGAGGCAATGCTCGTGTGGCAGCAGTTGGTTCTTCCATCCCTCCCCAGCACCTCAGCCCCCATCAGGAGATGACCAGTGCAAAGCAGTAAAACCAGTAACACCAGACCAGTAGTTGTGAGGCTCATTCCCCCCCTCATAAAACACCCACCGGGCTCAGGGGCACGCAGCCAGGCTGGACACAGCTCCCCAGGCCCCTGCACAGCTGCACCTTTAAGGCAGAAAACTCCGTGCTCAGGCCAGCAGGTTAAAAATAACTTAGACACACGCATCCCATGGGAAAGGATCCAGGGCCAGGAGGCGCCGAGGGGGGGAACTGCGCTCCCAGGGCGCCCGAGTGGTGACCCTGCAGCCATCGGGATCAGCCGCTCACTGCAGAGCCCTGCTGCTGGCTTAACCCCCCTGTGCCCCACGGAAAAGGGGCAGCTCCTGCAGCAAACCCTGGTCGGGAGCCTCTGGTCCCACCTGCAGGGTGACAGGAAGGGGCTGGTGGCCAGGACCCCTCAGGCAGCGCTGCCCCGGCCCTGCCAGGCTCCAAGCAGAGACCGGAGGCGAGCGGCTTCCCACGGCCACACGCTCGGATCCCCCGGTGCTGGCGGCAGCTCCCGAGAGCCCCAGGGTCCGGCCCCCTCAAGGGCAGCATCCTCCCGCCGCGGCCCCGGGGACAGCCTGTTCCCAGCCGCGCGGCTCCGGGGATGTCTCCCTTTCCCACGGCGCGGAGCGAGGGACACGGTGTCCCGGGAGCTCTGCGCTGTTTCCTTCCTTGCAGGTCTAGTGGGGAAACCAGGCGGGAGCAGAGGCCCCGCTCCAGGGCAGAGCTCAGCCCCAAGCCTGAGCACCACGTCCCATGGCAGGCAGGTCAGTGTGGGCGCAGCCACCGCGGGGCCTGGGTACCGCACAGCACCAGGCAGGAGGCAGCTGCCTGCCCGTGGCCAGCACCTTCAAGGCACAAGGGGCCAAGGAACGTCCCCCCGGGCGGCCAGGGCCAGCCTGGCTCTAGACGTACTGCTTCTTGGAGGCTGAGCTCCCGGGCCGGCTGCTCAGCTTCTCCTCTGGGATGGGGGCATCGGCAGCCCTGGGAGCATAGGGGTCTGACAGGGGTCTGCCGCTGCTGCCCAGCGCCAGGTTCTCCTCGTTGTGGAAGTTGGCCCAGTTCTGCTCGCTGGAGAGCTTGTTGAAGGCCTGGTAGGATGACGTGTGGCTGTCGGCCATGGGCAGGAAGGGGTAGTGCTTGTGTGGGTAGGCACCTGAGACCATGTCACTGGCAAAGGCATCCCGGCTTGGGATGGCTGGGTCCGACACCTTCTTGATGTTGCTAAGCAGGTTCTTGCAGCAGAGGTGGAAGAGCTCCAGGAGGTTCAGGATTAAGGAGATGAGGCCCATCACCAGCATGAAGATGATGAAGATGCTCTTCTCGGTAGGGCGGGAGATGAAGCAGTCCACCTGATGTGGGCAAGGGTCCCTCTTGCACACATAGCGGGGCACCATGGAGAAGCCGTACAGGTACCACTGACCAACAAGGAAGCCAGCCTCAAAGATGCTCTTGCAGATCACACTGGTGATGTACGTCCACATCAGCGCCCCTCGGATCTTGAGCCTCCCATCCTCCGACACGTAGATCTTGGACATCTTCTTCTCTATGGCTGCCAGCTCCTGCTCGATCTTTGGGTCCTTGCTGTGGATTGCCCGGAGCTCACTCTCCTGTTGCTTCAGCTTCTCCTCCTTCCGTGAGAGATAGACAACGTGGCCCAGGTAAACCAGGGTTGGGGTGCTGACAAAGAGGAACTGGAGCACCCAGTAGCGGATGTGGGAGATGGGGAAGGCTTTGTCATAGCAGACATTGGTGCAGCCGGGCTGCTTGGTGTTGCACACGAAATCCGACTGCTCGTCCCCCCACACAGACTCCCCAGCCAAGCCCAGGATGAGGATGCGGAAGATGAAGAGCACGGTGAGCCAGATCTTCCCGATCACGGTCGAGTGTTCCTGGACTTGGTCCAGCAGCTTCTCCAGGAAACCCCAGTCACCCATCTTCTATGGAGCCTCGTGCCTCTGCCGATGGAGAGGGGAGAGGAGCCAGGTCAATGCTCTGTTTCCATGCTGCAGAGCACAGACGGGGCCACCTAAACCCCTCAGGACACTGCTCTACACAGGGGCCCAGCAAACCCACTGAGGAACATCCCACCTCCAAGGGATGGAGCTGGGCTCAGGAGTGCTCCTCCTGCACCCCACTGCCCAATAGAGAAACATGGGGCTGGGGGACAAGAGGCAGTGCAGGGATGTACCTCCTCCAGCAGCACCCAACCCACAGCACCCGTGGTTTGCGGCCGTCCTGGCCTCCCAGGGGACGTCCCACAGCAAAGGGCTCATTCCCTTTTCGGTCTGGGGCTGCCCCAGGTGCCCACAGCACCCAGAGAGGGGGCACAGTAGGGGCAGATTTGCCTCTCTTACAGCCCAGCTTTACCAAAGGGCAGAAAGCAGCAGCGGGCAGGAGGGGAACCGCAAACCCCGGGCTACAGCAGCGACCCCAATACCTATTGAGGGCTCACCCCAAACCGAAGGGTCAGTCCCTACGCAGCTCCCTTTCCATGGAGCACCAACACCGCAGCCCCAGAGCACTCCCCCTTGCCCAGGGACCCCCCCAAGACCACACTCACCGCACAGACCCGTTGCTGCTCCGGGGCCCCTCAGCCTCCCCCGGGCTGCAGCGAGCCCTGGCTCCTGATTAACCTCTGCCAATGCAGCCGGCAGAGGTACCCGCTGCGCCGTTAAAGGGGCGCCCGGCAGCGCTGGGTACCCCAGGCACAGGGCTCCCAAGCGGTGCCCGGTGCCCCGAGGGGGTCCCCGGCGCCGTGCACTCACCTCCGCCGCTCCGGGCACGTCCCGCCTGGCTCGGGCCGCGCTGGGTGTTTGCGGGGCGGCTCTGGCCGTGCGGGGCCCGGGGGAGCCGGGGGAGGAGCGCGGGCAGGAAACGGGGGCCGGGGCTTAGCGCTGGGCCGCAGGTGTGCGGGGCCGCCCCGTCCCGCTACGGGGCGGGTCCGCGGAGCTCCAGACCCCCGGCACAGCGGGGACCGTCGGGGCCGAAGCCGGTGGGGTCGGCGGGGAGCCCGCGTGTCCCTGACCGCCCGGCCCCGGCTGCGGCTCCGCCAGCGCTCATCGGGAGAGGACCCATCGCGCTGCACGGCCCCTGAGCGGATTGACCCCAGTGCTCCCCGCTCCGGGGGGAGGCAGCCCCGGGGGTGCTGCCGGGCGTCCCCGCGATGCTCCGCTCCCTGCCCGCTCCGGCAGCGGGTCCGTGCGGCGCGACGGGCGCTGGGTGGTGCTGGAGCCCCACCGGAGCCCGGCAGTGCCCGGGTCTGGAGCGGGGCTCTGCTGTCGCGGGGCTCAGACGGGGCGCTGCGGGGGTGCGGAGGCTCCGTAACACGGAGGTGGGGCAGCGAGGGGGCGAGTGCTGCTGTTTAATGCACAGGCTTCAGTCCTGCTGGCTTCGCGGGTGCGAACCCCCTGCCTATGCCCCCGCTCGGTGTCCTGCAGAGCTGCAGAGGGCTTGGCACGGGCTGTGGGGAGCTCGGACTTGGGCTATTAGACCCAGAAACTAGGCCAGCCTGCACACACAAGTGGGAGCTGCCACCTCTCCCACACCAGGACGTGGCACTTCCTCCTCAGACAGTGTCAGGGCTGGAACAGCATCCTGATACTTCATAGAAAATAATTGGCACCCTTCAGGAATGCCCACGTGCTGCTCCATGACACCAGGGAGCTGCAGAATCCAGCCATCCCCTCCGCCACCCCTGGGCTGCGGCTGCCCAAGTGGCGTGGCCCCTCTTGGTGCCTGTCCTCAGTGATGCTCTGTGCCCCATGAGCCCTCGACGGGTGGCAATGTTCACCTCTGAGGGGCTGCTCCAAAACCACAAAACCACTCATGGGGCTGGGGCCATGAGCAGAGCTGGAGACACGGCTGACCGGGCATCAGCAGACCCTGCTGCTTAAGGAGAGATTAAATGGAAAGCATTGCTATTTATTGTAATATTCATCAAGGTTTAGTAAATAATTGATGCTGATCCCTCCTTGATTTCCTTGGGGACCAGTGTGCGGTTCTGGGTGAATTGGAGTTTAACGACGCATGACAAGCCAGGAGGAGGCAAGGATGGACACCGGGCACACTGGTGCCAGGGCTCAACCCACACTGCCACGGGTGGGAGTGGGGGGGACCCAGCTCCGGTCTCTGGGGAACCTCTGCAAATCCATTTCTTCTGCCCTCACCGGTCCCGCCAGTTAACAGCGATCAAAGCAGATCCCAGTGTCCACAGACAACACATTTATTGGCCTTTTGGATCCATAGCTCATGCTGCCTGTGACATCCGTCCAAGGTGAGGGGGATGCAAAGGCACCGAGGGAAGCAGCAGAGCCAGCGAGGGCATCTGGGTAGGACACCAGCATGGTGCTTGCATGGTGTCCTGCCCCAGTACTGGCCAACTGGCAAATGGGGCCAACCAAGCCCTGCTCCTCCGTGACTCCTCTGGCGCATGAAGAGGGCTCTGGGCACGGCGCTGAGCTCAGCATCTCTTTAGGGCATTGCTGTGATGTCCAAGCCCCGTGGCACCACCGCGAGCAGCCAGCCCAGCTCCAGGGCTGCCCTCGCCTTACCTGCGATTGCTCAGCCATACAAGGGCCTCTCTTGGGGGACTTCAGTCGTTGGGTTCAGTCATTTCTCGCACCTTGAGGGTTCAGGGACTTGGAGGCTTGAAAAGCATCTGGGCCATGGGGAGGTGAGGTGGCTGGGATGGGCTTGCTCACAGCTCCTCTCCTCTGCGGGAAGAACAGACACCCTCAGGCGTGCCCATGGGCAGCCAGCACCACCCTCCCTGTGCTGCTGGCACAGCCGGAACGTGCCCATAGTCCCAAACAGCAGCTTTCCCATGGATGTGTCCCCCTCCCCTTACAGCCACCGAGGTCCCGCCATCCCTGCACACTCCTCCCTCCCTCCTGCCCTCCCAGCAGCCCCTCAGACAGCAGCGAGGCTGGGAGCTGAGGCCCGCAGGGTCACACACCTCGTCTGGGACTTGTTGTCCTTCTCCTCGTTCTTGAGGTGGCACCGGCACGTGGAGGCCTTGTTGTAGCTGACCGAGCGCTTGGTGGACTTCTTCCACCTCCGCGCGCGCCGCACAACACGCTTGAAGATGAGGTAGAAGATCTCGCAGACGGTGAGGACGATGCAGATGGAGGAAGCTCCGACCATGAAATAAGTGAAGACTCTCTTCTCGGTCGGCCGAGCGATGTAGCAGTCTACGATGTTGGGGCAGGGGTCCACGTTGGAGCACTTGACCAGCCGTGGCAAGTCGAAGCTGTCCCACATCTTGTGGAGGAGGTAGAGGAACAGGATCTCTATGATGAGCTTGAAGAAGAGACTGAACAGGTAGGTCCACCACAGCCCGCCGTGCTTCTTGCCCGTGTTGCTGTAGAGCCTGGGGCAATCCTCCCCGTTCTTCTCCCGGTTCTTCTTCTCGCGGTCCTCCCTGTAGGCCACGTGCATGATGACCAGGAGGGAAGGACAAGTGACAAAGATGAGCTGCAGGGCCCAGAGGCGGATGTGGGAGATGGGGAAGAAGTGGTCATAGCAGACGTTGGTGCAGCCCGGCTGCCGCGTGTTGCAGTCGAAGTCCTTCTGCTCGTCTCCCCACACGCGCTCGGCAGCCACCACGTAAACCAGCACACGGAAAACAAAGACCACGGAGAGCCAGATGCGGCCGAAGGCTGTGGAGTACTTGTTGACCCCACTGAGCAGCGCCTGCAGCGTCTTCCAGTCCATGGTGGCTGACAGAGGCCAGAGTCACCCAACCTGGAGAAACCCCAGCAGAAGCAGTGGGTGAAGAGCAGTGGGGGCACCTCATCGTTTGCTATGATTCATTCTGCCCCCCACCCCGGGTTCTGTCCTGGGTTTGGGATGTGGGGACAATCCCACCCACAGACAACAAAGCCCATCCCCAAACTCCTCTGGTGATGGAGGTGACTCAGCCCCTCTGCACTTCCGTCTGGCAGAGCCTTTGCCGTAAGGGATGAGCCACGAGGCCAAGTGCCTGTCACCACATCAGCCTGATTGCGTGTGATGGTGTAAACTGGCAGCGTGCTCCACTGGAGCAGGCCAGGGTCAACAGGGAGAGGCCGTGCCCGGGCAGCAGGCGGGGGGAGCTTGGCATTCCAGCAAAGCAAAGTCTGGGTGTACCCCAGGTCCCTTGGGACAGGGTGCGAGGGGACCCTGCAGCACATTTCCATCCCCAACCGCGTCTTCCTTCTCCCCCAGTGCCTGCAGGCGCGTGTGCTGGTGCCCACCAGCATGGTCCCCAGTGCCTTGCCAGCCCCCTTTGGCTTCCCAGCACTGAGGCACAGGGTCAGTGGTTGCTTCATGTTCCCCTTCCATGGTGGGAAGGATGGGGAGCAGCGGGAGCCCCCTGGAAACCCACCCTGGCATGGGAAGGGCTGAGCTGGCTCCCCATGGGTGCAGCACCAGACCAGCAACTCACCCCAGCACACTTCCCTGCACACCCAGCACCAGCACGTTGTGGGGATGGATGCGGCCCTCTACCATTATGGAGATCCCATGGGATCCCAGCTGGTCCCAGACTTCCCTGAGCCTCAGTTTCTCTGTGGGTGAAGTGGGACAAACCAGTGGCCATGCTCTGCTAACGCCAAGAGCCGAAGGGGCAGCGGCTGCTGCAGAACTGGGATGCTGGGAGACACCGGGGACCTGTGTTTGCTGCTGCAGGTGATGCCCGAGGCAGCCATGCATGGATGAGAATGGGGCTGCTGAAAGCGAGAGGCCATGCACGGCACCAGTGTGTCACCAGCACGTCCCTCCCCGGCAGCACTGCCAGCGGCCCCGGGGCCCTGCGCCGGCCAAACCAGCTCCACAGCACAGCCTGGGGCTGCCCCAGTGCAGGGCTTTAACCCGGGCCCGGAGCGCTGCTGCTGCCTGGGTTGATGAAGCCCGGGGGGTTCAGCCAGGGGTGAGCTGGCAGCTCCTCACTGTGCTGTAAAGGTGCCTCCCCTGGCACAGGGCTTCACAGCCAGGCTGGGTCTGACCCTGCTTTTGAGGAGCCAAGGAACCCCCGTTGCCACTGACATGGGCACAGGGGTTTGCAGGGGAGGGTGAAGAGCAGAGCAGAGCAGAGCAAGTTGAGGTCAGGGCCCGGGAGGTGGCACCGGGGCTGGCAAATGCTTCCAGTGGGAACATGTCCCAGATATCACAGGATCAAAAGCTTCATTCAACCCCAAATGCTAACTCCTTCCATCCCAGCTACTCAGGCCAAGCAGCACCGTGTGCTCACATGGAATCATAGAATCATGGAATGGTTTGGGTTGGAAGGGACCTTAAAGCTCCAACCCCTGCCACGGGCAGGGACCCCTTCCACTGGAGCAGCTTGCTCCAAGCCCTGTGTCCAACCTGGCCTTGAGCACTGCCAGGGATGGGGCAGCCACAGCTTCTCTGGGCACCCTGTGCCAGCGCCTCAGCACCCTCACAGTAGAATTCCCACTCCCAAGGAGCTGTTGCCCATTGCCCACCCAGTGCCTCCCAAGTCCTACCTGGAGGGGGCTCAGGCTCCTTCCCTGCTCACCGGGGGCTGTGTGATGGGCAGTGCCCAGCGCGGGGCATGGCCGGGGTGCGATGGCGCAGGGGTGATCACGGTCCTCTCGTCCGGGGAGTCCTGGGGCTGCAGGGAAGGAACAGAGCCTCGAGCAGTGCCCGGAGCCTGTGGGGCTGCCCAGGAGCCGCTGCTTTCCCCTCCTCAGCCAAAAGCTGGTGCTCGTGGCTGAAGCCCCGCGCCCCTGCACAGCCCCAGGGTGAACGCCCCCTCACCAGCCAATTCCCCCATGCCCATTCCTAGTGCCACCCATGATACCCAGCACCCATCTGCCCTGGTACCCACGTGTCTGGATCAGTCCAGTGCCAGCTCCAGCCATGGACCCGCGGCAGGGCAAGAAGGGATTGGGAGCTCCATGCCCAGCCCCATGCCGGTGCGTGCTGCGTGCCCCACGGAGCGCACGGCGCAGGGACAGCGCTCCCGGTGTGCTGGGCTCTGTGGGCAGCACTGATTTGCCTCACGGGGAGCCCAGCACCATCACCAGACCCTGGCGTGCCAGCCCCCTTAGTCACCATTGGGTGCTGGGTCCTGCCCCGCGTGGGTGCAGGGTGTGGGGCTGAAAGCACCCAGCTCCTGCCTGGGGTGCGAGCGCAGCACCTTTAGGGGGGGCTCAGCCCTTCTCAGTCCCTGGGGACAACAGTGGGACAGAGGAGCGAGGCCTGGGGTGGCCATTCCTGCTCCTTGGGCCATGCCATCCCCCTGCATTGCCCCCCTCACCCGGGTGTGCAGCCCCACAGAGCAGTGGCCCCAGCACTGCCGGTAGGGTTCTGATGTGCAATACTGGGGTCCCTGCAGGCACAGCAGCCCCAGCCATAACATAGCTCCCACCGACATCCCCTTAGCACCATGGGATCTGTCCCCCTACACCCCACACCCTGCGGCCCCTGTGAGCACCCTGGAGGTACCTGCCCGGCCGGCAAAGGGCCAGAAGGAGGTGGTCGGATCCGGGATCGGAGTAGGGGAGCTCTTCCCCGTCTGCGCTGCCTGCAGCCCTCCTGCGTGCCCAGGTTGTGTCCGCGGCGCTGGGAATGCGGGGAGGGCAGGGTGGTTTGTTCTGTTCCCAGTAACTGGGTGAGTCTGGCAAACAGCTCCCGTAGAGGCTCTTGTCTGCGCACATGCACACACACGTTCAGGTTGAACAATAAAGGCGGGTCAAATCCTGCAGCGAGAGCGACGGAGCCGGATTCCTCCACAAGCAACACCAGCAGCTCCTGCCCAGGTGATGCTCAGTCCCCTGCACGGGTGGCTCTGGGCGCAGCAAACCCTGGGCAAGAGCAGGGCAGCCGAGGGCCGACCCCGGGCTCACAGCAGTCCCCAGCTGCAGTCAGGCAGCACCCACTGCTAAGAGCCACAGATTACGCAATCACAACCCACTTTATGCGTTACTTTTGCCTTAGTAATAGTTTTGCAACAGCTCATCGGTATCTCCAACCTACTGCAACCTGCAGGCACCGCCCCGCTGCCACCGCGCTGCCCTGGATCAGCCCCCTCCCGAGCCGTGGCACAGAACGGGTGTCAGCCCATGGAAGCAGCGCTCCCACCCCGCAGGACCTCTGCCTCCTGCCACATCCTCATGGGACCTGGGATGTGGCCCTGCAAGGGAGATCCCGACCCTTCCCCAGAGCCTCCCCCTGCGACAGCCCCATCGCGGCCCGGCCAGGGATGTGCTTCCTCTTGCCTGGTTCACCCGGCCAAGCACACGCGGGGCTTTGCCCGGCGCTGCACTGGGGCCACCCATCCCATGGGGATGCGCTTGGAGAGCCCCGCCGGGTGCCGGGTGCCCTGAGAGCTTTGCTCCCCGCGCTCGGGCACACACGGAGCCGCTTTCCCCGCAGCTCCCGGGCTCCAGGGGTCACACGAAGCGTGTGAGGGTTTGCTGGGCTGGGAACGGCAGCGGGGAGAGGCCGCAGCGATGGGAGCCCAAGAGACCCAAAGCAAACACTCAGGGTGCGGAGCAGGGTGAGCCCGGAGGAGCGGGCACACAGGGACCCTTAATGGGAGCTCCGGCGCCGGGAACCGGGAACCTGCCCTGACCCCGAGTGCCTCTGCCCGCTCCTTATCGGCGGCATCAGGAATTCGAGCTATGCTGCAGGGAACGGGAGCGGGCGGCAGGAATCCGGGGGCTGTGGCTCGAGCTGAAAACCCAGGGGAGAGGGAAGACGCGGAGAGCCACGGGCAGGTCCGGCTGCTGGCAGGGGCGGCAGCTCCCTGCCCCTCAGCGCATCCCTCCCTGATGAGGCGAGGAGCGGGGCCGGGTGCCTCCAGCAGCCTCTGGTCTCCAATTCTGGGATTTCGGGAGAGGCCACGGGGCCATGGGGAGAAAGTTCAGGTGCCCTGGCCTGGGCAGAAGAGTTTCCCTAAGGCAGCAGGGTGGGAAATGGGAACACCCGGTGTTCTGCAGTGCTGAGCAGGGCGTCCCAGCAAAGGGCAAGTCCCGCTGCCTCCCCCACCACCCTCTGATGAGTGATGCGGCGTGGGCACAGGGGCAGGGTGCCAGCGTGGTTCAGCAGCTCTCAGCACCGGGGAGCCCTCGGAGGAGCTTTGGGTCCATGACCAGGGTACAGCACCCTGCTCCAACCCACTGGGTGACGGGTGGAAGGCTTCAGTGCTGGATGTGATCCCTAAAACACCCGGTGACTTCCCGTGGCCTGACCCTGCGTCCTCCATAGAGGAAAATTCCCAAGCAGCGGAGCAGGCGGCTGCCAAACAGCAGGAAAGCCTCAGAGGCTCTTTAAAAGGGTCTTAAATGGGGCACCCTGGGGGGCGGCCACTGGCCGGGGCTGGGAGCCAGCCCTGCCTTCATCTCCAGCTCCCTGCCTGCCAGCAGCATCCCATCCATCCCGCTCCAGGGCCGCATCCCCAGGGAGGAGACCTCCCCAGCAAATGCTGGGTCATGGGAGTCACGGGAGCCTGGGAGCCGGCACCCCGGACACGAATCAGGGTTTCTCTTCAGTTCCCAGCAAAGAGGGGCTTGGGAATTGCCAGCAAACAGGCGGGAAGCTTTCAGGCAGGGAACAAACAAGGCCCTGCTCGGAAGGATGGGCTTCCCCCGACCGGTGCCGCTGCGCACATGAACCGCTCCACATCCCTGGCTGGGCTGCAGTTAGGGGTGGTTTTGGTTTAAATCCCCTCTCCCCCAAATTCCGGGGGCCTTCTGGGCACCCCACAAGCATTTTCCACCTGTGTAATGATGCAAAGTCTGGGAAATGCAGAGCTTTTACCATGACATCCGACACCAATCCTGCCTCTTAACCTAGTGTTGTACATCCTCCAGCCCCACGCTTCTGCAGCACCAAGCAGGGCAACCTCAGCTCCCCTTGGTGCAGAGCACAGAAACACATCAAAAAGAAGCCAAATCCCCCTGTTTGTCCCAGCAGGCACTGCTGATCCCAAGCCTGGATGGTGCAAGACACCCGGAGCTTTGCAGGGCGGCTGCAATGCTCGCTCGGAGCGAGATAAGGCAGCACAACAACAACAAATGCAACTGGCTCATCAGGTCTCACACTGGGCAGCAGCTCCTGCTGCCACTTTGATGTGCAGAAGCAGGGCAGGCGGGCAGGGTGGCTGCTCTGGTCTCACCTCTGCTGCGATCAGTGCTCGCGGCTGGGGAACACCTCAGGGTTTTGCTAATTGAGGACAGGCTTGATCAAGAGAAGGCTTGAAAACAAGCAGCCCAGCCCTAGCTCTCTGAACCAGAGGCAATGGCTTGCACACAGAGAACAGCTTCTACCCTCAGACATTAAAGGCTTTAATAAAGAAAGTTTTCATGTGGCAGTGTTCAAGGCCAGGTTGGACACAGGGGCTTGGAGCAAGCTGCTCCAGTGGAAGGGGTCCCTGCCTGTGGCAGGGGTTGGAGCTGGAGGAGCTTTAAGGTCTCTTCCAACCCAAACCAGCAAGCGCAGCAGTGAGGGTGGACAGAAGGAAGGCAGAGATCAGCACAGCTTCACTTGAAAAGAGATGGAAGGAATCCACCTCTATTTCATGTCTCCAACCTCACTGGTGTCAGCGTGCTCAAGAGTCCCAGGGTTCCTCCCGGGGCTCCTCAGCCATCCCCACCGTTGTGGGGCAGCTGGTCCAGTCCCTGCCCTCCCATCCGGATGCTGCAGCGCTGCCTGCCCTCAGCATCCTCCTTCAGCACATCCAGGCTGGTTCCCTTCCCCAGGGGGCTGTGGGAAGGAGCCCAGCTCTGCCCCGTGACCCTTTCCAGGGGCAGCTGGTTCATTGGGTCAGGCGTGCTGCGAAGTGGCAATGACTGAAAGCACGCTGGTCCCAAAGGACGTGGCGATGGCAGCCCCGTCCCACGTCCTTCCCAGCAGAGACAGCGAATGCTCATGGAAGAAAATAATAATCACCCCTTCTAAATAAAGCAAATCCAGCAACAGCTCGAGCTGCATGTTCAATGTTCATGTTACTTACGAGTGCATTTGCCATGAAATTATTGTTAATTATTCATCCCAGCTAATGCTCAGTTACCGCTGATGGCCTTAAACTGCAGCGCTGCCTGAGTCATGGCAGAACGCGACATATTACAGCAATAAACAAGATCATATTCTGCCATTTAATGTTATTGTTTAATCAATGGTTGGGGTGGTTTTCCTCTCCTCTGTTCGGCTGTTTTGCTCAGGTGTTTTCCTCTGGCCAGGCAGGAAGAGCCAGCAGCCCACGGCAAGCCTCACCCTGCACCACAATGGTGCCACAATGAACACGTGCCCTTGTCCCCACTCAGTTAATGAGTGTTATTAATGACGATCACATCAGTCTGAAATGGTCCTGTGGTGGGGCTCGTGTAGGGTGAGGCATGGAGACAGGGGCTCCCTAGGGGGGCTCGAGCCCTCACTGGCCCCTCTTCCCTCTCCACCACCTCTGACCTGGTTTGAAGACTTGTGCCATGTTTAACCTGTCCCACAGCCGCAAAGGGCTCTGCCACCCATGGGTCCTCGGGGTCGCTCCCACCCCTGGGTGCGCCTGCCTGCGCCCAGCAGCCCGTCTGAAATCGAGAATTCACGTATTCATTGTGAAGCCTGGGGTTGCAGGGAGGTAACGATGGATGCTGCCCTGTGCTCACCCGCAGCCAGTGCCTGCCAACCCGCAGCAAGGGTTTGGTCACCGCTGCTCCAAACCCAGCCTGGAGCTGCCCATGGCAGCGATGCCCTTCCAGGGGTGGATGCTCTTGGATTATGATCCAAGGATTATGCCCAAGGAGCAGGAGAACAACTGTGCGGGCCATCACTTCTAAGGGATAGGAATTTCTATTCATTGCAAGGATCCCCAGGACCAGCTCAACCTCTGGGTACCACTGCCGGTCCACAGCCACCACAGAGCTGCTTGTCCCTGTGGGCTCTTGGGGACTGCACATATCCTACAGGACCTGGTTGTACCCCAGGTTCAGCAGAACAACACAACGGGCCCTCCCCAGGACGGAAGAGACAGAGAGCCCTCGGGCACAGCCTGAACCCAAGGTGCTGCCACCCCAGTGCTCCTGCACCAGTGGGACGGAGGAAGAGGAGGAAGAGGAGAAGGGGGATGAAGGCGCACGGCTCCTAGAGCTGCCCAAGGGATGCTCTAGGGAAGAGTCTCCTCCTCGGGCGGTTGCTCAGGGCTGGAGGCCGTGGGGGGGATGGAGGCTGTGGGGGGTTTGTAGTCCACCCCATGGAAAACCTGCCCCTCCATGCCCACGGGCTCGGCGCTGGACGGTGAGCAGTCGTGGCTGTCCCCGCTGCCGGCCAGGACGCACTCGCGGCACCGCTTGCCAATGAGGTAGGTGGCCTCGATGAGGCTCAGCAAGATACAGATGCAGGTGGTGACCACCATGAAGAGGGTGAAGATGTTCTTCTCGGTAGGTCGGGAGATGAAGCAGTCCACCATGGTGGGGCAGGGGGCCAGCTCGCACTTCACCAGCCGGGGCAGGGTGTAGTTCCTGTACAAGTGGTAGAAGATGTAGAGGAAGACCGTGTCCACGCCGGCCTTGAAGACCAGGCTGAGCATGTACGTCCACCACAGCCCACCGTGCTTCTTGCCGGGGTTGGGGTAGAGGCAGCGGCCATCGTCCCCACCGGCGGCGCGGTGCCTCTGCTCCTTGGCCTCCCGGTACGCCACGTGCATGATGACGAGCAGGGATGGACAGGTCACCAGGATGAGCTGCAGGGCCCACAGGCGGATGTGGGAGACAGGGAAGAAGTGGTCGAAACAGACGTTGGTGCAGCCCGGCTGCCGCGTGTTGCAGTCAAAGTCCTTGTGGTCGTCGCTCCAGACCCGCTCGGCTGCCACCACGTAGACCAGGAGGCGGAAGATGAAGACGAGGGAGAGCCAGATGCGGCCGAAGGCTGTGGAGTACTTGTTGACCCCACTGAGGAGCCCTTCGAACAGATCCCAGTTCATGGTCCCCCGGTCCTGTTAGCTAGCCTGGGCGGAGAGAGAAGATAGGTGAAAGATGATCTTTAACATCCCTTCCAGCCCTAACCATCCTATGATACAGTGACACCAAAGAAGTGGCAAGAAGTCCCAATCAGAACACCCATGTGCCCAAAGCACTGAGCCACACTCCTGCCTGGGTGGCCTTGGGGACACACACAGACATGGGTTGCACATGGGGACACGCACAGACACTTGCCGCAGCTCAGACCTGGTCTCTGCACAGCACCATCCCCTTCTGCGTGCTCACTGGTCACGGGGGCCTGGCAAAGCTTGATGGCTCCGCTGTGGCAAGAGCATCCTTCATCACCGGCTGCGGTCCATGTGAGCCCTCTGCCATCCTTCGAAGGCGACCTTTAAAGCTCCCTCCCAGCTCCCACTGCTGGTGGCTCTGCCCTGCACCCGCCCCGTCCCTCGCCTCGCCGCGCAGGTATTTGTTATGAATCCTCGTGTTGCCAGGCCTGGCCCCGGCACACACAAGTGGGAGCAGCCGGGGCGTGACGCACCCGGAGCCCAGCGGCTCCTCTCCCATCGCTGGAATCTGCCATCGCCTCCGCTCCCGCCCGGCAGCGCGGGAGGATCCCGGTGCTGACCTGTGCCGGGCACAGCGACGCGGATGCACAAGAACCGGGTTTCAGCAGCTCAGACCCATCTCAGCCTGCACCAGGACCCCAGGCAGCTGAGCTGACCCTGGACTGCGTTATGCTGGATAAGGGCACCTCAGGCGGTGCGGGGCCGCAGCCGAGTGGGATTCCCAGGGCTGGATTTGGCACTGGCTCTCCTTAAGCGTTTTACCTACCAGTAAAACAATGAGACTTCCCCTCGCTGGCAGGGCTCCTGCGGTGAAACCATCCCACTGCTCTGCACAACCCGACACGCTCCCCAAGCACGTAGCTCCTGCCTCACTGGTTGGACCCCGGGACACACACACAGAGCCCACATTTCTCCTTCCCCACGCACGCTTCCAGATGTGCCCATCACCGGTGGGTCGGGCTCTGCAGCGCGCCCCTCACCAGCGCCGGGGGCTGCAGTGGGGGGGGGATTCATGCCACTTACCTATGGGGTGTCCTCCACCAGGGCCGGTGCTGTCGGTGCTTGCCCACGGCAGGATCACATCGTGCAGTGCATGCGAGCGGTGCCAGCGCCACGTGAGTCATCCCCGGGCTCCTGAGCGAGGAGGAGATTCCCAAGGGGGAAGGGATGAGGCTCAAGGCAGATCCCCACGTGTCCTGGAGGCTGTCAGAACCCCACGGGTGAAGGGCTGCCCCGCAGCGCCCAGGGTCCCATCCTGCTGCCGTGCAGGGAGCGGCTGCATCTGCTGCCCTGCGCTGTTTGGGGTCCCCCAGCCCTTCCCTGCACCCATCTTCCCTCGCTCGGACCTGCAGGGATGAGGTGGCCAAAGCCTTGGGAGCCCGAGGCACTGGGAGCCGCTCAGCCGAACACCTCCCTTCATAATCCCATTTTACACAAACTTTGCACCATGGCAGTGATTTACAAAGAGCCTTTTTCCCTCCCCACCTCCTGCCGGGCTGGATCAGTTCATTCTTTCACTGGATGTTCATTCATCACTTTTCCTCTGCTCCCCTCCCCTGCAAGCTGGGGCAAGTCCCTTCCCCATCACTCCATCCCTGTCAGCGGGCCCAGGAGCCAGCCCCCAGCTCAGAGAACCCCCTCTTTGAGGCCTGACCCCCAGCTCGCAGCTCTGGGGTGCAGCAGGGGCCAAGGAGTGGGTGCTGCTGTGTGGGGTGCAGCAGCTCAGGGACAGCAGGAGACACCTGAGGAGCAAACACAAGCTTGCTCTGCAGTTCTGCTCGGTTTGGGGGCAAAAGTGATGGGGAGAAACAAATCCAACCAGCTGTAAAGTAAATGAGCGCTGTTTGCGGACGGCTCCGGGGGAGAGCTCTGCAGCTTGAAATCAAACAGGCCTGGGTTGAGTTATTTATTATAACACGTCTGTGCAGAGGGCTGCATCCCCCCATGGGGCGGGGACACAGAGCAGCACCGTGCGCTGCGTGGGGGGGGGGGATGTTCTGGCTTGTGGGTGTCCAAAGGGGGTCTTGTGGCTTCCGGCCTTCTGGGTTAAGATCCCCTCCTTTGGGGAGCTGCAGACGTGATGGGCGTTGGGCTGCAGGCAGAGCACACCTCACCCCTCCACAGCCCTCCGGTGAGTGTGGGCACAGCCACGGCATCCCCTGGTCCCCCTGCCCTGCCCTGCTCTGATGGCAGGACGAGGAGGTGAGCGGCCACACAGCTTTCCTCCATGTCCCGCTGGTCCAGCCCAGCCGACGTGGAGATCAGCCCCCATCTACCAGGCAAAGACCTGGTGGAGGCACAAACCGAATCAACAGGGTGAGGAGAGGGAAGAGGCTGCTGTGGTGCAGCCAGGGCTGACACCAGCCAGTGAGCAGCTCATGGAGCATCCTCTGCCCTTGGGCTGGTGGGCACTGAGCTCCTGTGGCCAAAGCTGCCACCCCACTGCTCACCTTGGCTGGGGATTTCGGTTTGGCAGAGGCAGAAGAGGGGTGCTGAAGGCTGCACCCTCCACCGGGCAAACCCAGCCAGCCCATGCGAGTCCACGGCGCTGGGGACATGGAGGTGTATTAATGGCAGCACTTTATCTTCCACGAACAAGCCCCATTAGTACATTTTCACTACAACATGAAATATTAATAACGCTTTGCATTTATATAGCGTCATTCATCCAGGAGTCACCAGCCAAGCTCCTGACATGAATCAAACACCACAGCCCACTCCAGAGGAGGCAGGTAAATAGGATTATACCTGTTTTCCTACAGCGCACACCGAGGCACAGGGTTTCCTCCATGCCTGTCATGGGTGAGACCACCAGCACTCTTCTGCCCTCTCTCAGAGGATGCCACCGCTCTAAAGCCATGGGGACACCCTCCCTGCATGGGGCATCTCCGTCTGCCCCACGTGCTCTGCAGGGTTTTGCTATCATCAGGCAAAAGTTGCTGTGGAAAAGCAAAACACTTCCTTGGGCCGCTGGCATGTGCCTGTTTCCTGGAAGGTTTTGGAATGGCAAGAGAAGTTTGCTCACTTTGTGAAATAACAGTAAACCCAACAACAGTCATGATAATAATAATAGCTCCTTTTGTCCTTCTGGTCCCGTCCTTGGCAGGCTTTGCAGATGTGAAGCACAGCAAACCTTGTGGCTCCTGCAGGTTCAAAGACAGGAGACGTGGTTTCCATTCGTGCCGTGAAGAGTGAGGAAGTTTTAGGACCAAACACACGTGGGGAGGAGCAGCAGGAGCCAGCGCCACGTTACTGATACTGCGCTGATGGTGCGGGGAGGGAGCAGCTCAGAGCGGTTTGGAAACCTGTCAGCCCACAGCCAGACGAGCCCTGACACAACCCCAGGGCTGCGGCAGCAAGAGCGAGCAGGCAGAAAGGCGCTGGGGAAAGGGCTATTTTCATCCTATTAAAGAGCCTTATATTTAAATCCTCCTTCAGACGTGTAGCACAAGATGATTGCAAAAGCTTTCATACACTAACTCAGCAGGAATGGCTTCTGCTGCCGGTGATGTTGCACGCAGACGCTGGTTAGCAGGGCGGAATCCCATTACTGATGCTGAATAAATAGAGAAAACCAGGTCCTGGGTGAAGTTGGAGAGCGGGTGGGGAGCAGGGAAGCGCTGCCCCGGCTCCCTGTGCCCAGCACCATTATTATGCAAAGGAGGCGGCACCTCGTTTGCAGATAATTAAAAATCCCCCAAGAGATCAGTGAAAATGAACACAGAGGCTGGACCGTGGCTCAGCTGCTGCAGCAGAATAGAGTGCTCCACGCCTGGGTCAGCCCCTTCCATCCACCAGCTCGTGGCTCCTCGCTGCTGTCCCCTGCATCCCCCATCCCAGAGCTCACAGGGGCATTCACCACCTCCCCAAGCTGCCAATGCTGTTACAGAGACCACCAGGATTTCCTAGAGGGGCTCCCACACCTTTTTAGCCTCCGCCTCTAGCAGGAGGTGCCAGCAAAGAACAGTGAAGGGACATGAGCCATGGGACTGACCTCACATCTCCAGCACCCATGGGAAGAGCCAGTGCAGGCCCAGCACCACAGCCAGGGGCTCAGCAGGAAGGGAGATGGGGAACCAAGGCTGCAAACTCTGTTTTTAACAGGTCCCACAGGGCCCCGGGAGGCTCCCACCCAAAGCACTTCACCCAGTGCTGCTGGGGAAGGAGGGAGGCTGCAATTACAGGAGGGTGGTGAGAAGGAGGAGCTGTTGATGAGGCTGACAGCAACGAAACCGCCCTGGCACAGCAGCAGCTGAGGGCAGGGTGCTAATGATGGGGTCTGCTGGCAAAGGCATCTGCATCCAGCACCACTGAGATGAGCTGCAGCTGGACCTGTGGGTACCATGAGGCAAGGGGAACTGCAGCCCAGAGCAGCAACGTGCTGTACCCCACTGCACCTGCCAGCACAGTGATGCTGAAAGGACCTTCTGCTTCATGTCAGCATCAACCCCAAGCTGCCATATGAGCCGCTGATGTTAATGCTTCCCCTGGCATAGGTTTCCTTCACGCGGCCAGGATGGTGTTTGCAGATATGCTGGGTCTGTTCAGAAGCTCTCCTATGCAAACTTGTATTCAAGGACTGTCTGGATGAAATCAGGCAAACCTTCCTCAGCCCAGCCTGGTAATGACCATGTAACATGGCCAGCACCCGTTAATCTGCTCACATTTACGAGGGAGACTGCAGGGAGTAACCTCATTTCTAGGGAGGGCTTAATTAATCATGGAATCAAACTGACCCGATGAGAAAAATTCGCATGGCCAGTGGCAGCTGAGGATGGGGGTGAGCTTACAGGGACCTAAACCATGGCAGATGATGACGGTGGGGAGAAGAGAAGGGGATGCCTGCCCTGCAAAACCTGTCTCTGCACTGGGAAGCAAATCAACAGGGCACGGAGGGGAGATGCTGCTGTGGCACTTTGATCCTGTGAGGGAGAAATGAGTGCTCCCAGTCTGTACAGACCATGCCCCTCCAGGGACGGTGAGGAAAGAATGCGGAGGACAAACTCATAAGCTGGAGGGCACTGAGGGCAGTCCCACAGTCCTGAAACCCAGGCAGGGAGGGGCTGTGGTCCCTGGATGCTCTCAAGTGGGAGCAGAGTCCAACCCAGCCCTCAGTCCCTGCTGACTGCCACAAAGGGGCCCAGTTACGTCTGTATTGGGTTGTTTGGCCAAATAATCACCGCACAAATGACATCTTTGCTCTTGCCACTGACCTTGGCAGCATTCGAATGGGCGACCCACAGGTCAAAGTCTTTATATCCTATTACCAGTCTCCTGAGTCATGCCTGTCCCCTGGCAAGTTATATTCTTTTGAAATGGCAGCTAAATGGGAAAGAGGTCATGCTCCCAATACGGTGACAGTGGGACATGACAGCACTTTTCTGAATGATTAAGCCTCAGGTGATGGGGCTAAAGACAAGCGGCTGAAGGCTGAAAGGCTTTAATCACCCCCGACGCGTCACTGCATCCTCGCTCCATCCTGCCGGGGTGGGCTTCGAGTGCGAAACGGGAATGACGGAGAAAGCAACGAAGCGCAGGCTGCGCACCCCCCCGTCAGTGGCCCGCGCCGCACGTCCCGCTCTTAACCATCAGCCCCAGCAGCCGGCTGGCCCCCAAAGATCGTTCTGCAACCAAAAAGCTCTGATGCCCCAGAAGAAGCGGCGGGGGCGCCGCAGCAGACGCTAGGTGGCATTGGGAGAACGCGGCACCGCCGGCCGCCTTCCCTGGCACAGCGGAGCGCAAAACTCAGGATGACGGAGCAGAAAATGTCTGTGCTGGGTGGGGAGGCTGCCGAGCGCACCTTCATCCCCGCACCGACCCGCAGCGAGCGGGCTGAGCGCCCCATGGCCAGCACGGTGGCTGAGTGCTGCTGCTCGGCTGAGCCAGGGCTTTCTCCCAGCACGTTTTGTGCTGTTCCCAATGAGGAGCTGGGCTCTGGACCTCACGGAGCTGCTCGCTGCTCCCCAGAGCCCAGCTGCCACCGGGGGCACCAGCACGGCCATGCAGGGGCTCCATGCCCGGACGGGATAACAGGCACCCGGCTGCCCCTACAAGGGTGGAGCAGGGCTTTAAAATGAGTTCGAAGCTGAGCCCTGCTGCATCTCGCTCCCCCCCTCGCCCGGGTTCATCAGTATCACTGGGGCTGGTGCTCCCAGGGCCCCTGGGAACGAGCCCGGGGATGTTCTTTGTGGGGTGGCACGGGCATGCTCACCCTGCAGACCTGCAGCACCGCGTTAGAGCCAGAACTGTGTGCAGCAGCCAGAATCAGTTGCGCTCTTTCCCCTTTTGCCCGCTCCCCATCACCTCCAGCGCCCTCCTGCACCGCAGGGCCAGCATCTCCTTCCCCCTGTTCACCTCCCGCATCCCCACCGTGCCGAGGCCACTTTTGCTCTTTGTCTCCTAAATGCTGCATTGTGCAGGCAGTTCAACAGCCACAATACATCTCCTGATTGCAGCTCGCTCCCTTCCAGCCAGCCCCAGCCTCAACACCACATCACTGCTCTGTGCTGATGGCACATGGAATGGCACCACTGCAGCCTCTCCTCCCAGGGGCACCCCAAAAGCTTCCAATCCTCTGGAAAACAGCAAAGCTGGGCTTCTCATCACCCTGCTTTTGCAGGGGAGAGCTGCTGGGCTGAGGCTACAGTTTCTGGGGCTGCTCTCGTGCCCCTGACCCCTTCCATGGTGCTGGGACTCCCCCTCCCCTGTTCTCCCTGCCTGAGCTGGGTACCACACAGCAGAGCCAAAACTCAAACACTCTCACAGGCACCTCTGCCAGAGAGAACCACAGACTCAAGGAGGTCGAAAAGACCTTTAAGATCATCAAGTCCAACCATTACCCCAGG